CACCCATTTTGTGGGTGGGTGGTGGGGCCCACTTACTTTAATTTTCTTTTCTCTTTTTTTTTTTGCTTAATTTACACCTCATACACATAAAATACTCCTCTAAATAAATGCTACATTATCACACAAATTAAATTCCACAAAATAAAATTGGACCCAACAACAATTCCGGACGATAAGTGAAAAGACGAAAATGCCCTTGCGGCTAAAAATTCCCAGAAAAAAATGAAAAATGCTAAAATTTAGAAGCATCACAAATATATTCGGTATGGCTGGTGCATTACGCACGGGGCACGACACGTCCGTGTACCCAGAGCCCTAAACTCATGTTTTTGAATAACCGGAATTGACCAGTTAGATGTAATAACAGCAATTTGGTTCAGTCGTTGGGCTTGTAAAATTGGACTCTTTTGTATCTGGATCCAATCAATCAGTTGGGCCAAATTTTTTTCTTTTCCTTTAATTGGGCTGGATCTTAACACCAGCCCAACAGTGTACATTTATACCTATATTTATAGAATTGATTGGCCTTCGTGGTAAAAAAAAAAAAAAAACTTGGTGTGCATGCGTAGTGATATTGCAAATTTGATACCTTTGGTAAATTGATCATCTTTTGATGGATATATTCAGATAATTGTAACAATTTTTCTTAAAGCTTCAAGCTAGTTTTCATATAACTGTAATTTTAGATCTCTTAATGCGAATTTGAGTAGTTTTTCATTTCATTTAAATGTCAACCATATGAAAAAATTACTACTAAATGAACGATTCAATATGATCTCAAAGTTTTTTTTCTTTATTTAAAGTATAAGCTTGACTTCGCATTGATCAACATGAGTGGATATTCTTAATTCTGACTAAACCCTATAAGAAAACTTAATTGAAAAAATAAAAATAAAAAATTGATAGTCAAGAAAAGATATAGCTTTCTTTTAGCGAACAAATTCTTTTTAAAAAAATTATCACTAAACTATATGATTATCACTAAATCAGCTGTCAAGCCTGTCAGCCTATATGATTTATTATTATTATTATTATTATTATTTTGACACCACCAAACTATATATTTTCATTTTATATTTTTATCTTTACTTTTCTTTAATTTTTAGTTTTATCTTTACTTGTCCATTACTGGCATCCTCTAATAGTGTCTTTTTCAATCATTTTACAAAATAATTTATTTTTATATATTTTATAAAATGGTTAAGTAAGGGTAATTTAGTCAACTTGGGGTTTAAATTTGTCAGAGTGATCAATTTGCACAAAATTGAAACTTTTGGGGTGTTTTTTGCACGTGAGGGGATTCCTCTAATAGTGTCTTTTCCGGTCATTTTACAAAATTATTTATTTTTATATATTTTATAAAATGATTCAGTAAGGATAATTTGGTTAACTTATGGTTTTAATTTGTTAAAGGGACCTATTTGCACCAAATTGAAACTTTAGAGAGATATATATATATATATATATATATATATTGTACGTGAGGGTGTGTGTGATATGCACTGTTTTAGGGATATTTTCTACATTTCACCCTTTCAAAAGGACAATACTTAGGTCCTCCCATGAGAGGATGAACTTTATCCGCCAACTAAAGTGGTCCAATACAATTAAGACACATGGTAATGGTTATTATATAACTTCTTGTTAAAACCAAATCCTTTTTCTTTTTTTTTTTTCTTTTCTTGTTTAAAATTTTGTAACTCTGATGTATATATATATACAAAAAAACTATATTCAAATATAAGTTATCATCAAATTTTCATATAATATTTTAAACGCATATTCATTCCCAATTTAATAGTACATTTTCTTTAAATAAATATGGAAAGAGGCTGAAAATGTTTTGACGACCTTTCTCTATCTCTCTGATTTTGTTCTGCTGCTTCCTTGATTTTTTCACTCTAATTCACAATTCTCTCTTTTCCACAATTCAATAAATTAAGACTTAAGGGTACAACGGCCATTAACTTGTATCACATAGTAAATGAAATAAGGTTCGGGGCAATATAGTCCTTTCGGGGGTTAAAAATATAATTATGACGTTTTATTGGGTCATAAAATAATTACGTGAAACCTCACTTGGGTACCAAAATGCAATTTGGAAAACTAAACACATATTACTTAAAAGACAGAAACCGATCGACGTATCCACACTATATGTCGACTGGTTTGGGTATGAACAGTGGGAAAACCCATTACCAAGATACTGGTCAACGTATGGGAAGCTATACGTCGACTGGTTTGGGACATGATACCGGTCGACATATGGGATGTCATACGTCAACTGGTTTGGAACTTATGCAACATTAACCCACACTGTGAAGATACCAGTCGACATATGGGAAGTACGTCGTCCGGTTCTGGAAAATCTTCACTTCCACTTCCCACTATCCAGTGATAACCTAGATACACCAACATTGGTATTTCAAACACCCACGCCACTACACTTACGTGTAATTTTAATACATTTCAATAATAAATTCAATAACAACAACCATGTTATTAACATAATTTACCACACGTCACCAAAATACACTAGAGAATTTAGTGTAATTAAAAGTTAATTACATTTTCTCAATGGCCATGAATACAAAATTATTTACATTCCCAAAATTACAATTACACATGAAATGGCCAAATACAAAATAGCAAAAAAATCATCTTCTAACAACTTTCAAGCTTGCGGAGGAATCTCATCCGCCATTTCTTTGCCATGACCTGAAAAAAAAATATTAGTATGGTGGGGTGAGCAATTTGCTCAGTAGGTGACGCCTAAGACGCACCTCATGAGACCCCGTGAATCCAAAACAAAGATTGGCCAATAGGAGTTGGGGTCATTCAACATAGGAAAAGAAAAAAATACAACATGGTTATCATTCTTAACATAAATAATAAGATGCAATAGAGATGCAATGCATGCCGATGCCGCTCCCCATTTTCACAATCAGAATCATCGCCTTCAAACTGTTAATGTAATCCCCTTTGGTGACTCCGCAGCGCCGAGAGAAGGATTGGCTACTGTCCCTGACCTTTGGTGACTCCGCAGCGTCATTATGGGGCCCAAATAGCTCAACCACGCTAGGGCAATCTCCCTAGTTCCCTCTATGTTACATTAACCTACCGGCCCGTTGGTGACTCCGCAGCGACCGGGTTTTCCAAAACACTTTCATCAAAATATTCTTTCCCAAAACTCCCCATTTTCATTTCAAAAATAATTTCTTCCCTTCATGCAACCCAATGGTGTACATACATGTCTCATGATCTCAATACTATGAAAATGAGGAATTTGACATAACACAAGTAAGCATGTTCTCATATTTTTAATATTTAAACAATAATGGATTAACACAAAATACAATAGGGCATGCTTTCATACACTATTCATAACATGTGAATAATACAATAGGCATAAAATTCATTATATAAGCATGCTTCTCATATAGCACAATCAAGACAAGTCTTCACTTATTCACATATATACAATCAAGACATTTTAAGCTACAATTAACACCAATAAGCATGCTATAACACAATTCAAGTAGAATAACTCACAAAGGTGCATGAATAATGTGAATTAGGAAGCCTTTACCTCAAATTGAGCAAAACCCTTAAAATGATCAAGAATTTCGAAATCCAAGGGAAGCACCTAAGCTGAAATTGCTTACACTAGCGCGTAGAGCTCGTCGTGCTCTTCGTTTCACCTCAAACGTCACTCGAAAACTCCAAGAATTAAAGAAGTTATCAAGTCTCAAAGATTTGAAGCAAAGAAGAAGGAAAAATGGAGTGAAGGTAGAGAGAGGGAAGAGGTAGCGGGGAGAGAGAGTGTGAGAGACCAAAAATGGTCTCTAACCATATTTGTTTTAATGATGGGTCCCACCACTAATTCTTTTCTTTTCCCTTTTTCTTTTTAATTTCAATTTACACCACATACATAAAAATGCACCACTTAATCCACATAAATTAAAATATATGAAATGCAAATGGACCCAACCACAATCCCGTACGCATAATGTGAAAAGACAAAAATGCCCCTATGACAATGAAAATTCCAGAAAAATGAAAAACACTGAAAAATCGGAAATGTCACATTTTGGCTTCCGTATATTGTATCAATTTTGGGGATTTAAAAAAAAAAAAAAAAACCCTTCAAAAGTTCATGAAAGACTGTAATGATGAATAGTGAGTTACAGAGAGAAAGAATTAAGGGAACAGCAGAACGAACAAGATGAATAGAGAAATTCTTTCCATATTTATTTTTGGTATCTTTAGTGCCCAAATAAAATATCAACTATTTAGATAATTACATGACAATTACACATAAGATTTGGACTAGGAGTAAGCTAATTTGATCAGACATAGTATCATTACTCTAAACAAAATTAACTGGAGAACTTTTAAATTTTCCATTTTCGTTTGGCATCACAACATAAAATTTAATTTTCCATTTTTATTTATTTATTTATTTTTGGTATCACAACATAAAGTTTAATTTTGTTAGACATTTTTATAACAAATGCAACAGATATATATATATATATATATATATATATATATATATATAATCAATACAGGCTTTTTTTTTACCAAATATTTTCATATTGATGTATCCCACAGTTTTTTTTCATGCAAGAGATTTTCATTTTCCATCTCCCTTTGATTATTGAATTTAAGGAAAACAATAAAGTTCTTTGTTTTTCTAACAAGATAAAAATAAATAAATAAATATTCCAAATGTCTTTCGTGTGAATCCGGGGTTTTAAAAGCGTAATAAAACAAAGAAGCCACTGAAAAAAAGAAGATTAATAAAATTCTGATATTGTAATAAAAACAAAATAAATGAAAAATCTCTGTACTTAAAGCCTTTTCCCAAGTTTTTATTTTTTTTTAACCATATCGAATACCAAATAAAATTATGAGGCAAGGATGTACATGCAACGGCTTCTACACACATTGGAAAAGCCTAAAAAAATACTAGTAAATTCATTTTTATTCAACGTCTGTCATTCCACAAACGAAATGTGTTCTTTCCCATTATTGTTCAATGCAGATTGAAGATCCTTCATAAAATAAGAATGAGAAGGATGTAGAAGAAATAGCTTATACAAACATATATAATTAAAGGATTACCAAATCTGCTCCGACAGGAAGTTTGGTTCCAAGCTTCTTGGCGCGCTTTCTCGCTGCTGTTTTTTTCTTGGTCACCATGAACTCCCATGGAGTTCCTATAAGAAGTGGATCTCGAGGATCAAAAGTAAATTTCTCAAGATTCACAGCACTTTTGATTAAATACATGGCAAGCTCAACATCATTTGTACGCCCAACAAAACCAATGAACTCCACCACCTTAAGGTACTGATGGGGCCGAGAAGTAAACCTATCATGCTTTCTTTTCCAAAATGGCTTAACCCATACAAGCTGTAACAAAGAGGAATACAAAACCAAATTCCCAAGCATCAAATCCTAATTGCTCAAGTTAAAATTACAACATTGCTACACCAGCGAAATCAAACGCCTGAAGACAATTAGCATACAAAACCAAATTACCAAGCATCTAATCATAACTGTTCAAGTTGGAATCACAGCAGTGCCAGGCTTAATGGAATAACCACCACAGATAAAATGGTACAACTTATATATAAGAAAACACGGGCTTAATGGAGTAACCACCACGGGCAAAATGGAACGTGTTAGACATGAGAAAACACTGCATTCAAAATGAATTCACACTGTTTTGAAGAGCAACAAGACTAAATCTAACCGAAAAAGGTCACAGACCTCAAGAGGTCCTACTCGGGGAGGAGTTCTTGAACAATCACGAAAATAAAGCCATCTAAGAACGTGAAACATATTAAAAGACCATGTAAAACTCCAAGGCAGTAAATATTAAACCAACACGGGAACAACTTAACGATAAATATTCATTTAGAAATTACTAGAACAATCAGGAGAATAAGCAAGCTAAGCTAAGCACTGTAAGATCATTTTTCCTATCATTGGTAATTTTGTAATACCTATAAAGAAGCAATTACTTGTGAAAATTAAAAGCTTGTCCAAATGAATCAAAATTTCTATTTCAAAATTCAGTTACGAAAGCAATAAATCTCAAGAGTTTAGAAATGCAAGTTGTAAAGTAAAACTTATTACCTTGAACACAAATTTAGCCAAGAAAGGACATGTTTCTATCAGGGGAGTAAAACCAGTATGGCTATGATTATCCGTTGCACCAACTACCAACTCCAGTCGCTTGAGTTTATCTAATACAGGAAATTTAGTATCTTCAAGACCAGGATCTTCAAAGGTATGCTGAATAAACCAAAGAAAAAGTCAATCAGCACAAATTGATAATAATGTAAAAAATAACAATTATGAAAAAAAAATTATGTTAAAAAAGGAATAAAATAAAGATGAAGGGGGGGAGATCAAATGAATCAGTTAAAGTTCCTAACCTGCGTCATGCTGGCAATATGCAGCGTAAGGCTCTCTAGCTGAGAAAGAAAGCTTGAAATATCCAAAAACTTATATATTAGATAATCGCAATATGCACCCCAAAATACAAATCAACAGGCGGCTGTACATTCTTAAATGGTTGGCTTATTTTTGGTCCGAAGTACTTAAATGACATGAGATTCGTTACAAAAATCTCAATACTTTCCACATTAAAGCAGCGAATTATCTCCAAATGCTTCAATTTAAGTGATAGATGGGGAACTTTCAGATTTACGAGAAAGTCAGAATGTTTTACATACAATTTTTCCAAAAATGGACAGTTAGTTAAGAAGTACTCAAGAACTTGTCCGGTAACATTAACGTGTGTCAACAAGAGATTGGTCAGGTGGTTGCAACTAGTAAACCAAAGAGACAATGAAGGAAGGTGATTTGTAATACCATTGGGGTCAGGAAAATTGTAATCCTCTTCCTCTCTATTATAATCGGTACGGTGTGTGAAGTCCAACTCAAGCCTTTTAACTCTCTTTTCCATTGCAAAGTTAACCCAATTGTCAATATCAAATCTATAACTTTCATCAAAATCAAAGTTTACTCTGAATTCATCTATAGTTGAAGCGTTGTGCGATTTCAAGACTTGATTAACCCAACTCAAATACAAACGCTTTTCTACTTCAACTTCCTTTTCACCGAGTAGAATTCCATTGATTATATGTGAGGCATCGAAGTTCAAACTACTAATGTGTGTCCAGATATACCTCCATCTCTTTGATAAGATACAAGTTCTTCCAGCTTCTTTCATTGTCAATAGCGACAAGATTGAAACAAGTACAACATCTGGAAGTCCACTAATGTGATCCTCCAAACACAACCCTCCTCCTTTATCATCCTTATCACCTTTATCATCCTTATCACTATTGCAAATAAAGAAGGAAAAAAAAAAATACAAATAATTAAGAAAGTGTGATAACAGAAACATAGTCGTGCTGAATTTTTGTAACAAAATTAATTCATTAAAAAATAAATCAATAAATAGAGACATATAAATCCATATATAAGTAAAAAGATGGTACCTTGGGTTTTTAGCACAACATATTGAGGTTGGTCTATTGGTTTTCTCCATGGAATTTGAACTTACAGTTCTCTGCATAATTTAACACACAAATCTGCCGATCCAATAGATAGCAGGAGGAGAAGATGAACTGATTAGAGATATAAAAAAACCAAACAAGAGCAAAGAGCAATTGTGTATAAACTTGATGGATGTATAATTTAAATATCCATAATTAAGGGAAGATTACTAATTTAACGCACTATTGAGATAGGCTCTGCAGATTACGATAAGGATTACAGATTGAGATAGGCTTTATAGATTACGATAAGAATTAAAGATTGTGATAAGGATTAAAGATTACGATGAGGATTAAGTCTACAGATTACAATAAGGTAATTCTACGTGACATCTTAACCTAAGCCCTATAAAAAAGGCGGGGGAATCAACGTTTTGAGGTACACAATAAACCCTAACTCAATTTCTCGATTTCTCCAGGGAGATTATCATTCACACTGACTTGTTCGTCGGAGCCTACTCCACCGATAACACACCGGTGTTCGTAGGATCACTTTTTCTTCTCTTTATTCAGGAAGTCAGATCAGATCCAGGTTGCGCAGAATCTATCATCAACAGTTTGCGCCATCTGTGGGAACGATTTTAGTTCTCTAAATAAAGTGTGGTTCGATTGCGATCTGGTCTGGTTGCTGGCGAATACGAAGCGTTGCAAACTTCTAATCAAGGGGACTCGACGAGGCAACCCCCCGCCGTCCCAAACGATCAGGAACGCGTCACAGCGTTGGAACAACAGGTTTAAACCCTAAATAAGGGAATGAACCAATTAGTCCAGAAAAATTCAATGATTCTACAACGCTTAGCCGCCCTTAATGAGGTGGAGAATAATGAAGTACCCAAGAATAACTCCCGTAGGATTGACAACGACGCTGAGCTTAGTCAAATAGGGGGTCAACAGAGAAGCCATCACCATCGGTCTCTTGAACGGAATAATACCAGGCTTCGTGTAGGTACCTCTAGTTGTGTTGGTGACAAGACTGAAGACGTCACTTATTTTAATCTGTAGATGCAAGATCTGAGAACTAGGGTTAAAGACGTCATGCAAGCAATGAAAGGGAAGGGCCAGGCCACAGTGAACGATCTGGTACAGAAGACTAACCTAGCATTTAGCCTCGCTATTATGTTATGAGTTATCCTCTACCTAGCAAATTTAATATGCCAACTCTTGAGAGCTTCGATGGGACGCGGGACCCTCTTTATCATTTGGAGACCTACAGCCAACTCTTGAGAGCTTCGATGGGACGCGGGACCCTCTCGATCATTTGGAGACCTACAAAGCTCTTATGTATTTGCAAGTCGTACCGGATGAGATTATATACAGGGCTTTCCCTACCACACTAAAGGGTTGGGCTCGTCCTTGGTTTAATAAAGCCAGGCTCCATTGAAATCTTTAATGAGTTGAGCAAACAATTCATGGGACACTTTATTGCTGGGCAGAGGCATATGAGACAGCAACACACTTATTGAATGTGAAACAGCAGAAGGGAAAGCCTCTCCGTGGTTACATAAGTCGTTTCAACGCTGATATGCTGCAGGTAGAAGAGGTGGACGACAAGGTTGCCCTCACAGCCTTTATGGGAGGACTACAGACTTCTAAGTTCCTATTTTCCTTATCAAAAGAAGCCCCTACAAGCATGACAAAGTTGATGGTTAGAGCATGGAAGCACATGAACGCTGAGAATGCTATGAATGCACGAAAAAACAAAGGTGGTGAAGATAAGAGGTCGGAGAAGAAGAGGCCAGCACCTAACATTAGGGAGGAAAAGGAATCAAAGTACAAGAAATTCTCAAACAACCAGGCTGACAGATCGTCTCGCCGCCAAGTGAGCCCAGGCAGGTATAATAACAATACCCCCTAAATACATCTGTAGATCAAATCTTTCTGCAGATTCAAGATGACGCATCATTGAAATGGCCGCCAAAGCTAAAAGCTGATCCAACAAAGAGGTCTCTAGGTAAATACTGTAGGTTTCACCGGGACCATGGACATAACACAAAAGATTGTTTCGACCTCAAAAACCAAATCGAGAACCTTGTTCGTAAAGGTCATTTACGCAAATTCACAACTGGAAATGGAAAAGGAGGCTCCAACCCAGCCCGGGAGGGCCGAGATAATCGCCCTCCTCAACACCAACCAATGGGTGAGATCAAAGTTATATCGGGTGGCTTCGCTAGTGGTGGTGAGACGAGTTCGGCTCGGAGGGCTCATGCTAGGAGTATTTAGAGTTTTTCAGAGGTGAATGAAGTTGGAATGACAAGTCCTCCAACAAAATTACCTCGAGTTGAGGAGCCAGTCATAACCTTTTATGAAGAAGATGACAAGGGAATTCACCAGCCCCATGATGACCCCCTGGGCATACGAGAAATTGAAAATTGGCCGAGAGAAGCTCCGACCCATGAAATCACCACTGGTGGGATTTTCAGGCGATAAAGTACATCCACTGGGGGCAGTTACCTTTCCAATTACTGCAGGAACCAATCCAAAGCAGGTCACTGTAATGGTGGACTTCGTAGTGGTGGACTGCCCATCATCATACAATATTATCCTGGGGAGGACAACATTGAATGCCATGAAAGCAATCACGTCCACTTACCATCTCCTGATGCGCTTCCCAACTGAATATGGTATGGGAGAGCTAAGAGGGGACCAAACAATGGCTCGCGAATGTTATGTCGCCTCTCTTAAAAAAACAAAATCGTAAGAGGCATTTACGATTGAAGGGCTAGAAGTGAAAGATAGACCAGACTTTCATAGAGCGGAACCTACAGAGGAGCTAGAAGAGGTCATCCTTGGTGACGGTGAGCCCGAGAAAAAAGTGAGTATAGGGTCTTTACTCCCCTCAGGTATCAAAGACAAACTTACTCAATTCCTCAGGAAGAATCGAGACGTATTTACATGGGTCCATGAAGACATACCGGGTATAGACCCCACTATCATGGAGCACCGCTTAAATGTAAATCCTGACTTTAAACCTGTCAGACAAAAGAGGAGGACTTTCGTTCCAGAAAGGAATCAGGCTATATCAGAAGAGGTGGAAAAGCTCTTAAAAGTCGACTTTATTCAAGAGGTGTACTACCCCGACTGGCTGGAAAATGTGGTCTTAGTGAAGAAGGCAAATGGGAAGTGGAGGCTATGTGTGGATTTCACCAACCTTAACAAAGCTTGCCCGAATGACAGCTTTCCTCTCCCAAGAATCGATATGCTCGTTGAGGGAACGGCTGGACACGAACTATTAAGTTTCATGGATGCATATTCTGGATACAACCAGATATCTATGTACACCTCAGATAAAGAAAAAATGGCCTTCATCATTGATAGAGGTTTGTACTGTTACAAAGTAATGTCGTTTGGGCTCAAGAACGCTGGTGCAACATACCAAAGGCTAATGAATGCAATGTTTAAGCATCAAATTGGTAGAAACATGGAGGTATATGTTGATGACATGTTGGTGAAAAGCTTAAAAGCTGAAAACCATTTGACTGACCTGCAGGAGACCTTCGAGGTACTTAGGAGGCATAAGATGAAACTCAACCCCAGCAAGTGTGCCTTTGGGGTTTCCTCAGGAAAGTTCTTGGGATATATGGTAAGCAGAAGAGGAATTGAGGCCAATCCAGAGAAGATCCGAGCAGTCATTGACATGAGATCGACAAGATCAACCAAGGATCTACACTGACTAACAGGGAAGATTGCTGCCTTGAGTAGGCTAATCTCTCGGTCAACTGACAGGTGTCTACCTTTCTTTCGTGTGCTAAGGAATGCGTTTGAATGGACCCCAGAGTGTGAGCAGGCATTCAAAGAACTAAAGCAATACCTTAGTTCTCCCCCACTACTGTCTCGAACCATACCGGGAGAGGAACTATACATATACCTTGCAGTCTCCACGACAGCTGTCAGTTCAGCTCTGATACGAGAAGAAGAAGGGGTCCAAAGGCCAGTATACTTCATGAGCAGAGCACTTAGGGGTGCGGAGGAAAGATATCCAAAGATGGAACAGTTGACCTTTGCTTTAATTGTGTTCGCCAGGAAACTGAGACCATACTTTCAAGCGCATACGATAGTGGTCCTAACAGATCAACCCCTTCGACAGGTCCTACACAAGCTAGAAAGCTCTGGTCGACTGATGAAGTGGTCAGTAGCGTTAGAGGAGTTCGACATTCAGTATAAGCCAAGAACAGTAGTAAAGGCTCAGGTGTTGGCTGATTTCTTAGCTGAGTTTACCCCTCCAGAAGAGGATAAACAACCCCAATTTTCGACAGAACCAGGTTTAAGTGAGCAGATGGGCCCAGAAGTAGTCTGGGACTTGTTCGTGGATGGGTCATCTAATGTTCAGGTTAGCGGAGCCGGGCTTGTTCTTGTCTCCCCAGAGGGAGAAAGTATACAGTACGCACTTCGGTTTGGTTTCAACGCAACCAACAACAAAGCAGAGTACGAAGCCTTGATAGCAGGATTAGAAGTGGCAAATGCCTAGGGGTTGAGCAATTACACCGACTCCGAGCTGGTCGCTGGACAAGTTCAAGCGGAATATGAGGCACGAGACGAGAAGATGAAGAGTTACCTACAAAAGGTGAAGGAATTAAAGAATCACTTCCAAAGATTCTCAATTCATCAAATACCACGAGAAGAGAATGGGAAAGCAGACGCTTTAGCCCGGCTAGCTACTGCATTGAACCTGAGATCAATAAGAATATACCACTGGAATATTTGGACGAACCATTTATATCTCAGGAGAGACAAATTGAAGTGCAACAAGCGATATTGAGTGTGGAATGGGCAGATCCTATCATCCGATATATCAAGGATGGGGTGCTACCAACAGACCGAGCAGAAGCTCGAAAGGTCAAGATGCGGGCAGCTAGGTATACGCTTATCAAAGGGGTGCTCAACAAGAGAAGCTTCTCCATGTCGTATTTACGATGCGTTTCTAGCGAGGAAGCTGACTACATTTTAAGGGAGATCCACCTAGGAGTTTGTGGAAACCATGCTGGGGGTAGGTCACTTGCTAACAAGGCCATCCGACTAGGATACTATTGGCCCACCATGCAGAAAGATGCACTTGACTTCGTTCAAAAGTGCGACAAGTGTCAACGATTTGCCAACATCCCGAGACAACCGTCAGAGGAGATGACTCCCATGTCAAGACCATACCTCTTTCCCCCTTAAAAGAATGAAGGGTCAGCTTCATCTTCTTCCCTCGATAAAAAGATGAGGGGTTAACTACTTCCCTTGTTAAAGGGTGAGCTGAGTGAAGCTCGTATTAATCTACTTCCCCTGTTAAAGGGTGACCTGGGTGAAGCTCGTATTAATCTACTTCCCTTGTTAAAGGGTGAGATGAGTGAAGCTCATAGTAATCTACTTCCCTCGTTAAAAGGTGAGCTGGGTGAAGCTCATAGTAATCTACTTCCCCTGTTAAAGGGTGAGCTAAGTGAAGCTCGTATTCATCTACTTACCTTATTACGAGTTACGTGAAACTCGTCTTAATCTACTTTCCTTATTAAAGGGACGAGCCGACTAAAGATGTCAATAAAATCAAGTATAAAATAACAGTAGCATGCCAGCAGGGCAGGTTGCCAAATAATAGGAGCATGCCAGCAGGGCAGCTTGCCAAATAAAGGCAGCATGCCAGCAGAGCAGCTTGCCAAATAACGGCAGCATGCCAGTAGGACAGCTTACCAAATAAAAGCAGTATGCCAGCAGGGCAGCTTGCCAAATAAAGGCAGCATGCCAGCAGAGCAGCTTGCCAAATAACGGCAGCATGCCAGTAGGACAGCTTACCAAATAAAGGCAGTATGCCAGCAGGGCAGCTTGCCAAATAAAGGCAGCATACCAGCAGAGTAGCTTGCCAAACAACGGCAGCATGCCAGTAGGACAGCTTACCAAATAAAGGCAGCATGCCAGCAGGGCAGCTTGCCAAATAACGGCAGCATGCTAGCATAACAGCTTGCAAAATAAAGGCAGCATACCAGCAGGGCAGCTTGCCAAATAAAAGTAGCTTGCCTGCCAGGGCAACTTGACAAATGACGACAGCATGCCAGCAGGACAGCTTGCCACGGCAGCATGGCATGGCAGCTTGCCACATAACGGTAGACTACCAGCATGGCAGCTTGCCACATATACGAGCTGCCAATGTGGCACTACGACAAATATACAAGCTTGCCAATATACGACAAATATACGAGCTTACCACATATACGAGCTGCCAATGTGATACTATGACCCCCGACTGTATTCGCGAAATGACAATATAAGTCAGGCTAATGGACAAGGCTCTGCAATTCTAACTATATATTATTGTGTGATATTTTGGAATTAACGTTCCGGTGGTTTGACAAGCAATCCTCCGAAACGGGGGGCAACTGATGGATGTATAATTTAAATATCCATAATTAAGGAAAGATTACTAAATTAACGCACTATTGAGATAGGCTCTGCAGATTACGATAAGGATTACAGATTGAGATAGGCTTTACAGATTACGATAAGGATTAAAGATTGTGATAAGGATTAAAGATTACGATAAGGATTAAGTCTACAAATTACAATAAGGTAATTCTACGTGACATCTTAACCTAAGCCCTATAAAAAAGGCGGGGGAATCAACGTTTTGAGGTACGCAATAAACCCTAACTCAATTTATCGATTTCTCCAGGGAGATTATCATTCACACTAACTTGTTCGTCGGAGCCTACTCCACCGGTAACACACCGGTGTTCGTATGATTATTTTTTCTTCTCTTTATTCAGGAAGTCAGATCAGATCCAGGTTGCACAGAATTCATCATCAACAAAACTTATTCGATAAAAAGGAAAAATAAACGATTTTATATACATATACATTGTGCGAGCAAAGTGGTTAAATTGGGCGACTTGGAAAGTAATAACAACATGTTTCAGTGTCTTACTAGGATTTGCGAAAAGTGTGTTCATAAAGTTCTGGGAAGTACAACAGACTCAAATTTGCGAAATTTGAGAGTCTCAAAAGTATTATTATTATGACGTTCAATTTTTTATAAACAGAAATCCATAAAAATAATAATAATAATAATAATAATAAAAAGAAAACTCTTCCCAAAAATTACTATAAAAGAGAGAGCTGATCCTAAAATAAATAAATAAAATCTTTTTAAGGAAACTATTGAAGACAGTATATAGATCACGAAATCTAATTTTTTGTCAAGGAAAATTTACAGAACAAAATTTAATGATGAAAGCAAAACTTACAGAACT